GGGGGGGATTCCGATGAGGTCGCTCTGGAGGCCGGGCGAGAACCGCCCCCCTCCCGGGGGCCGAAGTGCACGAAAATGTGTGTGCTGGCGGGGCGCCCTGCCCGGCCGGGATGCGCCGTCCGTGTGTGCTAGGCGCGGCGATGACACAGACACACGTACCCCGGGCCTGGCTTCCCGGCCCTTGTCGGGGCTGGCGGCTGGCGGCTGGCGGCTGGCGGCTGGCGGCTGGCGGCTGGCGGCTGGCGGCCGGAGCTGAAGCTGTGTAGGGGGGGGGGGGGCGAAATCAAAATAGAGCTGACCACCAACGTGATTCGGCGGCGGCCACACGGTTTTTATTTAAAATCGATCGGCCGCCGCCCCTCAGTCGGGGGCTAGCGTGTTCTCGGGTGGCGCGCCGGTCCGTGGCCGTGCCCCCCCCGCCCCCCCCCCCGATGCCCACGACCGGCGGCACGCCTGGACGATCTGCGTGCGACGTCCGGCATCCACCAGGGGGAGGCCGGGGCCGCCGCCGGGAACACCCCGGCGGTGTCAACCCACAAGCGGGCATGGTCGCGTTCACGCGGGCCGCCACACCCTCCCCCACACACGCCTCCGCACCGCCTCTCCCTCTTGTTTCCTGCTCGCGACACCCTTCCTCGCTCGCGCCTCGCGCCGATCTCCCCTCGCGGCTTTCTCCGCGCCCCTCCCCTGAGGCCGAGCCTCTCCCTCCCTCCCCCCCCCCCCCTGCCTCCCTCCTCCGCGTCTTTCCTCCCCTCTCCGCGCCCGGGCCCCTCTGGCTCTCCGATCCCCCCCCCCCCCCCCTGACGAGATGTCCCTCCCAAGCGTGGCGGCGGCGGTGGTTGCCCAGGTGGTTCGCTGGTCCGAGCGGGTGAACACCTGGCGCGAGGCGGAGGCCGACAGCCAGCGGCGCCTCTCAATCGAGCAGAAGACCCTCCTCGGGGCCTTCTCCACCCTGGACGAGGTCCCGCGGGAGGTGTGGCTGGTGGACATGCTGCTGACAACCTTCGGCAGCGACATCGAGAAGTACCGACCGTCGGGCTTTCACCCGGTCACGCGCTTCAACCCCTTCTCTCAAACTGGCCAGGCGGTGGATGGCCGGTCCGGCGGGCGGGGGATTCCGCAAGTTCTCCCCGTCGGCGAGCCAGGCCCGGCGGGCGGGCTGGCCTCGCACCTGGGCGTGCCGGGGCTGGCCCATGCGGATGCCTTTCCCCTGGTGGACTCGCTGACGGCATCGGCGGTGGCGGTCAAGCTGGCCTACTTCCCCATTTGCCTGGCCGATCGGGCGTGGCCCGATGCGGCGGATACGCTGCTGGTGTTGGCGTTCTTGGCATTCGATTCGAGTGCGTCGAGGCGGGCGGGGCAACAGCCCCCCCCCCTTCTCGGATCGCGTGCTCCGCCTGGCGTTTTTTTTTTGCTGTGAGCTGACTTGTCACCCCCCTGTCGGGGCTCTCCCTGTCAGAGGACCTGGATGCGGCGCTGCTGTTCACCCGGGCCGCGCGATCGTGCCTGTTCCGGGGCCTGGCCGACTGCCAGGGCTGGCGGTGTGCATGCCGGCCGGCGGGCGGGGATGGCGCCTGCGGCGCATGCCACATGCCCGGGTCCCGGGCGGCGGTGGGGCCCACGCCGGCCGCCGCCTGGGACATGGACCTGGTGCCGGACCACCAGGTTGGCCCGGGGGCCGAGGCCCTGTCGCCGGACTTCTCGCATTTGCGCTTTTGTGGGGCCTGCGCCAGCCCGTGTCGGTGTGCGGCCGGGCCGCCGGCCGGCCTCGACCCGGGCGACCTGGCCAAGCCGCAGGCGGCCATGTGGGAAATTTATCTGACCGAGATCACCCTGGGGCTCCTGCAATTCCGGTGCGTGTCGGTGCCGGGCCGTCGCCGGTGCCCGTGGTTGCTCGGGGCGTGGGGGAGGTATTTTTTTTTGTGCGACCCTTGCCAACTGGCTTCCGGTTGCCCTCCTCCCATCCTGCCGGTGCTCTCCCTGGTGCAAGTGTGTTGACATGGCTGCCATGACCATTGTCACCGGCTGTCGGTGGCATGCATGTGTGTATGGGCACTTTCGGGCCTTCCTTCGCCCGACCCCGCCGGTGGCATGGGGCCGGACCGCAGGGCCGGCCAATTTCCCGAGGCCGAGCGCACCCTCCGGCGGGTGATCTCGACCCCGGCGGCAGCCGACCCGGTGACCAGTCGCCACCAGCCCTTTCGGCGGTGCTTCACCGGGGCATCGCGGATTGAGCTGCAGCACCTGGCGCACTTTGCCCTGGGCCAGGTGTTCCAGTGCATGGCCATCATGCCGGGGGCCGAGCGCCGGCTGGGGAGCCAGCACTTTCGCGAGGTCAAGCAAAAGACGGTCTTTCACGGGGTTCGCGCGTTGAAGATCATCACCCAGCAGCTGAATGAGCCGGGTGGCGCGGGCAGGCATGCTCTGTCGCCGGACCTGCTGGTCAGCCTGCAGGCGGTGTATTCCTGTTCCATCGGCTGGAGCCACCTGATCACGAACAACCCGGCCGGTGCGCTGGTCATCTTTGCGCGGGCGCTGCAGTGCACGGCCGGTGCGCGCCATGCCGGCCCCGGGGCCCTGGAAGCCGACACCGCGCCCGGGCTCACCCGGCGGTATGTCCTCCATGCGGAGCAGCTGGCGTGCCTCAGTCTCAGCCGGGCCCTGAACCAGGAGCAGGATGTGCGCAGCATCCTTGTGGTACGTGTGCCGGGCCGGGCCGGACCGGGCCGGGCTTGGTGTTGATTTGGGTCTGCTTTTTTTTCTCCCTCTTCGGGCCGAGGGTGTGCCATTTCCCGGGGCGCACCGGCACACCGGCGCACATGGGGACCGCACGCATACGCACATGCACGCATCTCCCACAGCACACTTACACCACGGTGGCCGGCAGTTCCTTTTGCATGCCCTGGCCCTGGCCCGGGCGCGCGGCAGCATCGATGACATCCTGTTTTTTGTTCGCGATATCGGTTCGTTCTGCCCCAGCCTGCCGTCTCTTCCCCTTTCAGTCCCCCACTCGTGCTTTTCCCCGGGCTCCCCCTGCCAAGCAACCATGCGCACGCACGCACGCACATGGCGATGTACACCTTTCTGACGATCTTTACCCCAGCAACGGTTCTGGCGCGCGTGGATGCAACGGCCGAGGCGCTGGCATGGCTGACCTTCGGCCAGGGGATGGTCCTGTGTTTCTTGTCGTACTTCTTCGAGGAGGCCACCCTCGGGACATCCAAGTTCGGCAGCCTGCCATACCTGTGGCACACGGTGTACCCGCTGCACCGGCGAGCGGGCACACGGCCGGGGCCCGGCACGCCGACCGGCGGGGCCAGCTCTCGAGCCGGCACCCAGGCGCCGATGCGGGTGTGCCTGAGTGCCGGGCAGCTGGCCGCCCTGGCGCACCGGTTTTTCTTCGGCCTCCCGGCCGAGGGGTTTGCCCAGCTGAGCACCTTCCTCGAGGAGCAGGGGGCCTTTTTGCTGCCGGCCGGTGAGCCGGCGCCGGCCGTGCCGGCCACGGCCCTGCGCGCGGCCCTGGCCTCGCACAATGTGCGTCTCCACTGGGCGGAGCTTGATGCGGCGGCCAGCCCGCGGCCCGGGCCGCTGGACGAGTATCTGGATGGCGTGCTGTCCGGGCAGCGCCTCGGCGGGCGGGATGGCGGGCTGGCCTTGGGCCCGGCCGACAGGGCCCGGCTGCTGGTGTGGCCGGTGCCGGTGCTGGTGGCCCTCGGGGATCTGGTGCCGGGGCTGGAAATCCACTGGCGCCATGTGATGAGCCGCCATCTGCTGGTGCGCGAGCTCCGGCCTCTGAGCCGGCGGCTGCATTCGTGCCAGGCATACCTGCGGGACAGCTCGGTTGGCGGGCATCTGGACTGGCTTCATGGGCCGCGAACGGCCGAGACGCATGCCCGCACGCCGGCCCCCTCGGATGCGCTGATCCTGGGCAAGACCCTGCGCAGCCGTTTCGACGCGGTGATGCAGTACTTGGAGTGTCTGTGGTGCGTGTGTTGGTGCCCATCCGGCTGGGTGGCCGTTTGCTGGGTGTCTTTTGCCCGTGGCCTTGCGCGTTCTATTCCATCCCTTCTCGCCTTTCTTCTCTTTCTCTCTTTCTGTATGTGTGCCGTGTGTGCTCGGGATGCTGTGCCGGCGGCCGTGTTGCCTGCGGCCCTCTCTTCGCGGGCATGGGCAGGATGCGGCCGCGACCCATGGCCCATGTCACCGATGGGCCTGGCCGGGGGGGGGGGGGCAGGAGGGTGCCCTCCCTGGGTGGCCTGCCTGCGCCGTTGGACGCCACCCGCACAAGCCGGCCCGACGATCGCCCAACACGACGCTGACCCCCACCCCGCCCCTGTCGCTGCACGCACGCACGCACGCACGCACGCACGCACGCACGCACGCACGCACGCACGTAGCCTCCTGGGGCGCGTGGATGCCGCCAGCGAGCTCCTGGCCACGGCGGCCGAGTGCGTGTCCGACATCAGCCTCCTGGTACAGCTGATCCGCCGAGACGTGGCGCAGCGCCGATTGGCCGGCATGCGCGCCGGCGGGAGCACAAGCATGCTCTTTTTCTGCCACACGGACGCCCTGGCCCAGCAATTTTCCCAGCTGGTGGACGAGATCAACCCCAATGGCGCGGAGCGCCTGCGTCTGGAGTGGCTGGCCGGGTGTGTGCTGCTGTCGGCGCCATCGGCCGGGCTTTCCGGGCCCCAGGCCGCCACGGCGCTCGGGCACCTGGACCGGGTGATGCTGTTCGCCGGGGCCACCGGCCAGGGCGCAGGGCAGCAGGGGGTGGTGAATATCGCGCAGCCGGAGACCCGCCTGCGGTGGCGCCATCAGGCCCTGGCTCTGCATGCGCCGCATTTTCCCTCCTTCTGGACGAGCGATTGCGATGGGTCCGCGGACTTCCGCCTGACCCTGGAACTCTTGCGCTTGCAGTGCATGGGCATGGCCGATGTGGTGCGCGCTCTCTCTCTCTCTCTCTCTCTCTCCCTCTCTCTCCCTCCCCCGGGGCCGCATGTCTTTTCGCCCGCTGTCCCCCTGTCCCGGGGCGTGGCACGCGGCGGGACACATGTACATGCTTGGCTAACCGATGGTGGATCTTTCCCCGGACCCCCGGTCCGATGCCGGCCTGGCCCGTGCAGTCCATCACCCAGATTGAGGCCTGCTTCGAGCAGGCACTCGAGCAGGCGCAGCGGGTGTCGCAGTTCGGGGTCGTCGAGCTGCTGGTGCTGCATGCGCAGCGCGACCTGCGCAACAAGCTGTGCTCCCTGGGAATGCCGGGGGCCGAGGCCTCGCTGCCGGAAAAGGAGGCGGCAGCGCTGAGGCGCTTGCACCATCGTGTCAATGTGCAGATGCCGGTTGGCGGCCGGCCGCAGCGGGACCTGGCGGCCGGCTTCCGGTATGTGACGTCGCTGCCCGGCATGGGGGCATTCCTGCGGGAGGCCGGGTTCCCGATGCCGGAGACGCTGCTTTCCCGAGCAGCGGCCCGGCGCCTGGCGCGCATCCGTCCCGGGGCCGCCAGCCCGGCGACCCCTGGCCCGGTGCGCTCCATCCGGGACTGGGTCATGTCGGAGCCGGTGTGCACGGCGAGCCCGTCGAGCTCCGGGGTGGCCTCGCCGGGCTCTGTCGCCAGCCCGGCGGCGGGGCCGGCACTTGGCGTGCCGGCGGCTTCCTTGGCTCGTCTGTCTCCGGGCTTGTCGTCCGGGGCCCTGGCAGGTCCGCTGGCCGGGGCCTCGCCCGGGGCCCCGGGGGTGCCGTTGTCAGGCTCCTCGCCGGGGCTGTCGGCCAGCCCGTGGCGCACGCCCGGCAGGACCCCTCCGCGTGGGGGGGCGCCCACGCGAGCGGCCTCCCTGTCCACCGCCCCGTTGGGTTCTGCGGGGCTGGCTTCGTCGCCGTCGTCGTCGCCGTCGCCATCGCCATCGCCATCACCGTCGTCGAGGTCCGGCAAAGTGGGCTCGGGGCGCATTCGGTCGCCCTTGGGCCGGTCGTCGAGCCAGCGCACACGCATATGGCCTGCGGGCCTCCCGGCCAGTGGCAGCACCCTCGGCGGCGGCGGCGGCGGCGGCGGCGTTCTCATGGAGGAGGAGCTGGTGGAGGAGGAGGAGGAGGAGCCGGAGGTCGAGGCCGAGGGCGAGGCCTTTGGCTTGCTCGGCACCGACCACTATGACACGGGCGACGGCTTTGTCGTGGAGGACGAGGAGATCGAGTTCGAGCCCGGGGTGGCGGCCCAGGAGTTCCGGGATCTGCGTGGGGCCGGGCGCTTGCGCCAGGGCGAGGCCGTGCGGGCCCTGTTCGCGCACTCCGGCGGCACGCCCTCCAGGCGGGCAGCCTCGCGGGCGGCCGCCACGCAGCACGAGACCCCCCGGCGGCGGGGGCCCCGTTCCCCGAGCCAGGGGTCGCAGTCGGGCCCCGGCTCGGTGGACGGCCGCCGGCATCGCGCCGTGGGATCCCCCCATGCAGGGGCCTCGCCGGAACCGCTGACGCCCGGCGGCCGGCGCCGGCAGCAGGGCGACCTGTTGGATGGCTCGCCCTCGACGACCTCCAAGCGCCGGCGCACGGCCGGGTCCGGCCCGCGGGCGCTCTTCGACACCGAGGCCACGGCCAGCCCGGGCATCGATCGCCACCGGGGGGAAGCCGCCGACGTGGCTCTGTCTGGCAGCTTGGGGCAGGACGCCGGGCATGTGTCGGAGCCGGCCAAGAGGTGCAATTCGCCGCGCCCGAAGAAGGCCGCCCCGGAGCAGCAGCAGCAGCAGCAGCAGCAGCAGCAGCCGGTCCATGATGCCCCGGTAGACAGGGCCCGAGGTGCCGGCCCGGGCGTGGCCAATGACCCGGCGAAGCCCCATCCAACCTACATGGACCTCGTTACCGGGGGGGTTGTCTCCCGGCGCCGGGTGTCCTCGCGTCGTGTTTTGGCCGCCAGGGCAAGGCATGCCTCTTTGGCTCCGGGAGCATGCTCCCCCCTGCCGGCTCCCTCTCCAGCTCCACTGGGCCGAATCCCGGACTCACGGCCGCAGTCGCCGTCGCCGTCGCCGTCGCCGTCGCCGTCGCCGTCGCAGTCGCAGTTGCACTCTCAGTCGCAGTTGCACTCTCAGTCGCAGTTACACTCTCAGTCGCAGTCGCAGTCGCAGTCGCAGTCGCAGTCGCAGTCGCAGTCGCAGTCGCAGTCTCAGTCGCAGTCTCGGCCTGGATCGTTGTCGCGGTTGCAGCCGGAGCCGGAGCCAGAGCCCGAACCGGCGCCACCGGCTCCTGGTCTGACGATTGCGCTGCTGGTGAGCGTGGGCGCGACCTTCGGCTGGCGCTTGGAGTTTACCCTGCCGCGAAAGCCCCTGCAGCAGCTGGCCAGCCTACTGGCCGAGTCGCCGCCGGACCTGCTTGCCGGGGTGGAGGTCATGCGGGCCGCGTGTGCGGTGAGCCTGGCGCCGGGTGCTGGCTGCTCCGGGGCCTTGGCCGCCTGGCCGGACTTGGTAGGCATGTGCGCCGAGCGTGTTGGCCGCTTGATCGGCCGTCAGGTACGCGTGTGTGTCTGTTTGTGTGTGTGTGTGTGTGTGTGTGTGTGTGTCTGTGTGTGTGTGTGTGTGTGTTGTCCTGTGCTGTGCATGGCCCGGTCTTCGTGCGGCTTTCCTGCTCCCTTTGACATGTCTTTGCTCTGGTGGCGGCCCGGCGCTTCTGACCATGCCGGCTCACGCTTTCGAACCGGCCCTCGCCCTGGTAGCCGGTGCTGCCGACGTGCGCCCTGCGCTGCGATGCCGGGCTGCTGCTCGTGCGGCCGGCGGCCAAGGGCGGCCATGCGTCCGAGGTGCATCCGCTGCCCGACTCGCTGGCCGCCGACCCGGGGCTCCCGGTGGCCTGGGCCTGTGCCCTGTGGTGGCTGGCGACCGCATGGCCCGGGGCCGGCGGCGATGTGGATGCCCTGCTGGCTGCCGGCGTGGGGGGCCACTTCGCCGTGGACATCCCGATTATCGGTGCGCCCGGGGTTCCGCCCCTCCTCCTGCTCCTCCTGCTCCTCCTGCTCCTCCTGCTGCCGGCCCTTCGCCCGATCATTTGGCGTCGCTAATCCGTCCGTCGCTGGGTTTCCACTTGCCACGCTGTGGCCTCCTGCCCCCCCCCCCCCCCCTACCCCCTGCCGGTGCCGGGTGCAACTCCAGGCTGGAAGTGCCAGCCCACGGCCGGTGTGTTCACCGCTCGCCTGACGGACCGCCTGGTGGAGGCGGACAATTGTCCCTTTGAGGGGACGCTGGCCGGCCGGCCCGGGTATCCCCGGCTGCCGGCGTCCATCAGCTCCGTGCTGAGCACCACCCAGGCCAATGTCCTGCCGTATCTGGAGCGCCTGGACCAATTGCTGCTGCAGCGGGCCGGCCCGGTCGGCAAGGCCGCCGGCCCCTGCGCCAGCAGCATCGTCAAGCGAGTGACCCTCCTGCCCTGCAAGTGGGCGGCCATTTGTCGGCACTGCCCGGCCGACCGGCCGGGGGTCTGCCTGCAGCCGGTGTCCGTGCTGCTGGACCTGCGGACTCTGAGTGCGTGCCAGTGGCCTGGGCCGCGCCCCTTGCGCGGACACTGTCGCGTCCCCTGCCCCCCCCGCTCCTCTCCTTCTGCTCTCCCTTCCTTCGCCCGCTCCCTGACCCGTGCTCCACTCCCGCCCCTGTCTCTGCACGCGTGCGCGCGCACGGCCAGAGCTCGGCGCCCTGGCCGGGGTGGCCCTCCTGGAGGCGCTCGGGACGCTGGGGATCTGCGCCGACGGGCAGTGCGCCGGGCCGGGCCCCGGCGGGCCTGGCGCCTGCGCCGCCGGCTGCCCCATCAGGCCACCGGTGTCCGGTGCCCTGCTCATTTTTTCCCTTTCAAATATCGGTGCGCCTGCTGCCCCGCCTCCCGCCGCCGTCGCCGTCCTTCCCCTGCTGCCTGCCGGGTGGGCGTCTGGCCGTGTGCCGCTCGCTGACCGCCGTCCGCTTGGGCCCCATAGCGCCGGGCTTCCAGCAGGTGCTGGCCGCCACGGCCAAGCCGGCCGAGGCGCCGGTCTTCCTCCTGCCGGAGGTCTTCTACTCGCGGGACCCGACCGAGCCGGCGGCCCCCCATGTGGAGGGGCTCACGCCGACCGGGCTCCTGGACCCGGGGGCCGGGTGCCCGGAGATCGCGGTCCCCCAGCCGGCCACGCCGGGCGAGGCCCTCCACGCGCCGGAGTTCAAGCCGTCCTCCGTGCAGGCGGCCTATGTCGGGGCTCTGGTCCGGCCCGGGGCCAAGTCGCGGCCGGACCTCTTCGCCCGGCCGGACCTCCGGGGGCACCTCTTCATGGAGCTGGGCCTGGCGGTGCTGGAGATCTCCTTCTTCCAGCCGGCGGCTCCCGCGGAGAGGCCCTAGACGCTGGTCCCCCCCCCCCCGCCGCCCGGCCGCGAGCGTTGGCACTCGGCTGTCCCCGCCGCGCCAGATCGCCCTGGCTGGTAGATCTCTCGCTGGTTGGTGGTTTCCTTTTGTGGCCTCCAACTCCGGGGGCTTCTCGTGTCTGGCCCCGGGCCTCGGGGGGCCGGATGTGCCGGATGTGCCGGATGTGCCGGGGGGGGGGCGGCCGCGATCGCCTGCCCCCTTGAAGGCCGGGCACCCCCTTTGCCTTCCCCTGCCTCAGTGGAAAATACATACGAGATAGACCTTCTCTGCCTCCTTCTCTCTCTGCCTCTTTCTCTTCCCTCTTGCCCGCCCGCCCGCCCGCCCGCCCGCCCGCCGGCCCTCTCCTTTGCCCGATGAGCCACGACGCGGATGACGGCTTTGCCCGGCCGACCTTTGGCGGCGAGCCTGCGCCCCAGCCGGCCCCGGCGCCGGTTCCGGCCGCCGAGCGCATTGACTTCTTCAATCCGCCGGAGGGGGTGCCGGCCCTGCGGTACACCCCGCTGGCCAGCGGGGCGCCGCTGGCCCACCGGTATACGCTGGACGTCTTCAAGGAGGACCAGCTGCTCGGGGAGCTGGACCTCCATGCCCATGGCCATGCCTTTTTCGTTGTCGGTGCGTGCGGTGCCCCGCCGGGCGGGCCTTCTCCCGTGCATGGGTCCCTCACCGCGCCCGGGGTCTTTTCCGCCGGGCTCCGATACTGACCCATTTGATGGTGCGCCTTGCGCCCGCCGGCGTCGGCGCCGGGGCCGGGGGTCGGGTGTGGGGGCCCCGGTCACAGGCCGCATCCCGCACTCGGACCTGGTGCAGACCCATGCGTCGATCTCGCGCTACCATGCGGTGCTGCAGTTCTGCAGCTCGGGTACGTGCTTGGGCCGGGATCCATCGGTGCGGCTCCCCGCCTCCCCCGGGGAAGAGGGGGGGGGGGGGAGGCCTCCCCTCCGCTGGCCGCGTGACTGACCGGCTTTGCTCCTTCCCCCGCCGGGGGCCCGGGGCTGGTGTGGCCCTCCCAGGCAAGATCTTCCTCGTGGACCTCGGCAGCACGCACGGGACCTTCCTGAATGAGCAGCGCGTTTCGCCGCACCGGCACCTGCGGGTATTCTCCGGCGACCGGATCGCCTTCGGGGCCAGCACGCGCACCTTTGTGCTGAACACCACCGACGAGGCGGCCGACCGGCTGGAGGCGGCCGAGCGCCGCGAGTTGCTGGCCGCGCAGCAGCAGCAGCAGCAGCAGCAGCAGCAGCAGCAGCAGCAGCAGCCACCCTCCAAGAAGGACTCGGGCATGGTCACATCGCGACGGTGCGCTTGGCCTCCCACTGGCGCCGGCGCCTGTGTTGTGTCCCGCCCCGCCCCCTCCCTCTCTTCTGCTCCTGTTCTTGCTTTCTTTTTGCCCTTCTCGCCGCTTGCTCGCTCTCTTCATGCGGCCCGGCACTGACCCGCTTCGCAGGCCCGAGGAGCAGGAGGATGGCGAGGATGACCCCCGGGCTCACGATGACAACTTCGCCGGGGACATGACCGATGCGCCGCTGGCGGTGGACCGGGACGATGCGTCGTACGCGTCGGAGCCACGCCGAGTCCTGGCGGCCTGGTTCGAGTCCCGCGGCGAGGCCATGGAGGTGGAGGTGGTCGAGGAGCGCGGCGGCCGGCGCGTCGGCATGCGCGACGACGAGGACGACGAGCTGGACTTCGGCGGCCGGCGCGGGGGCTCGGCCAGCAGCTTCGCCCGGGCCACGCGCGGCCCCGGGCCGCACTTCTTCGCCACCGTCAGCCTGCCTCTGTACAATCGCGATGGCGACCGTGCGTGCTTGGCCAACTCCGCTGGTCGGGGGCTGGTTTCTCTCTCTCTCTCTCTCTCTCTCCCTCTCCCTCTCCCTCTCTCTCTCTCCCTTCCTATCTGCCCCTTTCCCCGGCTGCCGCTGACGCCTGTCCCTCTTTTGTGTCCCCGGTTTGCGCACTTCCCGGTCCTCCTTCTTGTGTTCCTCCGGGTGTCGGGTTTCTTTTCGTGGCTTCCGGGCCCCCTGCTTTCGGGTCGCCTGTGCCTGGCCCGGTGGGTGCATCGGGCTCTGTGCGCATGCGCGCCGGGGCGCAAAGCAAGCACCCAGGCCCCCGCCGGGCCCCCCCCCCCCCCCCCCCCGGTGCACGGGGCTGCCTGCCCGCTGGTCCGCTTGCCCTTGCAGAGGTCAATGGCACGGGCGATGCCTCGCGAAAGCGCGACGCCGAGCTGTCCGCCATCCTGGACGCCTGCCGGAAGCTCTTCCATCTGGGGGTCCTGCACAAGCGGGGGCACCTAGGCCGGCGGTCGGGCCCGGTGTCGCGAGCCGGGCGCAGCGACCGCGACGACTTCTTCGACCGGACACACGGCGACGCGGCGGCCGACGAGACGACCACCGGCGGGGCGGCCCCGGCCTCGGCCGAGCAGCTGGCCAGTCACCGGTATGTGTGGTTCGACGAGCGCGGCGTCCATTCGCTGGCGTCGCTGCAGGCAGACCGCGCGCGCGTGGAGCAGGGCCAGCGGATCTTGGCCTGCGCGCTTCAGGACATCAGTGCGTGGGCCTCCTGCCCTGCCCCGGGGGTGGTCCCTCTCTTTCCCCCTCTCTCTCTCTCTCCTTGCGTTCCTCCCTCCCCGGCCCTGGGCCACCCATCCGCATGCTGACAATGTACTTGCGACGGCACACGCACGGCCGGTCTGCCAGCCACGGAGGCGGCGGCGCTCCGACAGCGGGCCACCAAGCAGGACGACATCGATGCCTATGTCACGCGCCTGCGTCTGGACGAGCTGACCGAACGTCTGCCGGCCATCCGGCGAGCGTCCCAACAGGCGGAGGAGGTATGTGGGAAGGCCTCGCATCCCTGTGTCTCTCTCCCTCCCTTGCAGGCTGGCCCCGTCTGACCCACTGTTTGGTCGTCCCCTTTTGCCCGCTCCCCTCGTCGCCCACTCCCACGCCTGCCACAGGCCCTGGTCCAGATTGATAAGTTGCTCGCTGTGGCGGCTCCCTCGGCTTCGGCCTTCGCATTTGCCCGCGCGCCGGCCGCGGCCGCCGGGCCGAAGGCCCCTGAATCGGCGTCCTCGATGCCGGCCGCGCCTGAGCCGACGGTCCCGACGCCGGCCGCCCCTGGGGAGCCAGTGGGCCCGAAGCCGGCCGCCCCCGGGGAGCCAGTGGGCCCGAAGCCGGTCGCCCCCGGGCCTAAGCGCCCCGGGCCGGAGGACACGCAGGAGGCGTCGCCCGCGCCGAAGCGCCCGCGGCCTGGGGTCCTGCCGCCGCCGCCGCCGCCGCCCGACGATTCGGACATCCTCCCGGACGAGACCATCCCCCTGGCCACAGTGGGCGGCCGGGCCCCCGGCGCCGGGTGGAAGCCACCCGCCGGGCAAACCGGCGACGGCCGAACCAGCCTCAACGACCGGTTCGGCTACTGAAGGGCCCCCCTCCGGCCCGGGCCACCATGCCCCGGGGGCACCCTCCAGACACACGCCCTGGCCCAATACACCACCGACCGGGGATTGCACTCGCCCTGCCCACCCCACCGCCCCCCTTGCTCCTTTGCCCCTCCTGGCAGGCTGTCACATGGGCAACAAAATCGCTGGTATTCGCGGCACGCGCCCGGCCGGCGGGGCGGGGAGGGCGCTCCGCCGCTGGCCCGGCTCTCAGGACCGGGCGATGGGCCGGCGCGCGGCGCGCGGCTCGGCCACCAGGGACTGCTGGTACATCATGTTATCGTCGAACAGCAAACTGGCGTCGCAACGAGACAGGAGAATCTCCAGCAGCTCGGTCCACGTGCGGAAGGCGAAGGGGATCGACTGGAAGCGCTCGATCTCCGAGATGATTTGGAAGGCCTTGAAGTGCTTGTCGAAGTTGACCGCCACCGTGGAGGTGAAGCAGTTCTTCTCGGTCGGCGGCAGGAACACCGTGTCGGGGTTGCCGTCGTCGATGAAGACCAAATCCGTCAGGTAGAGGCCTGGCCGAGGGGACGCGCCGCGAGAGAAAAAAGCAAACAAACAAACAAACAAACAAACACAGGTCAGCATGCTGCCCACATCCGAGAGGGGCCCCCGGAGGAGGAGGAGGAGGGGGAGGCACCCCCCCCTGCCGCGCGGCGGGATGGAGGTAAACGCACCGAGGAAGGGGATGAAGGGCGCGCTGGCGCCCTGGAGAATTTGCCGGTAGGCGCCGTGGTTCTTGGCCGGGCTGGTGATGCTCTCCAGATGGGTCCACGCCTCGGCGGCCTGCTCGAAGAGGGCCTGGTCGCCGGCGGCGATGCCGGCCACGGTCAGGGCCACCGGCGGGGCCGCGGCCACGGCCGCCGCGCGAGCGGCCTTCAACCGGGCCAGGTCGCTCGGGGTGAGTGGCTGCCCGGCGGCGGACACCGACCCGGCCGGGGGGATGGCCACGGACAGGCCGTCCGCCGGGCCGACCGGCGGCGTCGCGCCGCCCGGCGACAAGGGCGGCTGGGCGGTCGCCGCGACCACACCGCCAGCCGGCTGGGCATGCAGGTCACGCAGCGACGCGGCCACCGGCATGTCGGTGGAGCTGGACGCCGCCGAGGGCGAAGGGGTGGCCTCGGTGGACCCGGCGCCGGGGGCCGCGACCCACGGGGTCTTGGGACTGCGCTGGTCTTGCGACGTCGGCGTGGAGGGCAGCTGCAGGGCGGCGGCGGACGCAGCGGCAGAGGCGGCGGCGGCGGCGGCGGCCGCGGCCGCGGCAGCCGTGGCCGCCAGCTGCTGCTGGTGCATGACCGACCCCTCGGACACGGGCTCCACGCCGGACTTGCCGCCGGACAGGATGGGCGCCCAGGTGCGCTTGAGCCGGTGAATGGGCGAGGAGGCCAGGCCGGCGTACACCGAGAAGGCGGAATTCATGTTGCCAAGCTGCATGCACCGCGAGGCCACCAGGATGAAGTGCGCCAGCCGGCGCTGGCGCTCGCCCATGCACCGGCACCGGAGCAACTCCGTGGCCACAAAGTAGGTCAGGTCGTTGGAGCGCTTGATCAGGGCCCGGACATTCGGGGCCCGGTGCTTGAGCGAGTCCTTGGACCAGGCCTGGTTCATGAGCTCGGTCTTGCCGCGGATGGTGGAGAAGAGCTGGTAATCGATGAGGGTCAGCTGGCGGGCCACCTCCAGCGGGTCGATGAACAGCAGGTCCGAGGCGTCGGCCGCCGGGGCGAAGAAGGCCGTCGGCTTGAGCACCGGCGGCGCGCTGCGGAGCTGCGACTCCGACAGGGCCGCCGGGCCGCCGGTGGTGTAGCCCGACACGCCGGTGGACACGCCGGCCGCGGCGGCCGCGGCATCCGCGGCATCCGCATCGCCCGGGTCGCCGGTCGCCGCGGCGGCCGCCGCCGCCGCCGCCGCCGCCGCCCCCCGGGCCACCTGGAACCGGCGCTCGATGGAGCGCTCCAGCAGCAGGGCATGCGGCTCGTCGGTGACCCGCATGCGCCCCCGGAGGAAGGCCTGGAGCTGCTCCAGCAGGGCCTGCTGCTCGGCCAGGAAGTCCGTCTCAAAGTGCTGGGTCAGCCACATGTTCAGCACCACCACCGCCCGCTCGCGGATCGGCACAATGCGCTTGACATAGTAGTACTCGATTTGGCACGGGTGCTCCAGGTAATCCGGCGGGGTGATGTTATACCGCTCGATGATCATGGACAGCAGTTCCGACGGCGAGGCGAACGACCGGTAGGACATGAAGAAGGCCTGCGGGTACTCCATGCCGATGTAGACATTGGACACCAGCAGCCGGACCAGGGCCTCCGGCGTGCCGGCCCGCACGAAGAACCGCCGCATGTTGGTGGACGCGTCGTGGCGGATGTCCAGCGCCAGGTCGCCATCCTGCGTGAGGAAGCCATTGGCCGCCGGCACGTGGCGCGAGGTGGCGCCGGCCGCCTCGGCCGGGGCCTGGTCCGTGGGCGATGCCGGGGCGGCCGGGGCCTGGCTCCCGGGCCCGGTGGCCAGCTCCATGAGGGCCGTGTCGTCGCCCAGGAGGTTCGGCGTGCAGAGCCCGGAGTAGAAGCGCTCGTAGTCCATGTTCTTGGACTTCTGGCGCCAGGTTTCCGAGGGGGTGGCGAACTTCTCCTGCCGCGATTGGATGTACTTCCGGCGCTCCTCGACCTCCTCCTGCTGGCGGTGCTCGGCCACGATGACCCCCTGCAGGGCCAGGACAATGGCCACGGCCTGGATGTCCAGCCGCTCGGCGCCCCACTGGCTGAGGATGGCCTGCTTTTCGATGGCCAGGCGCTGGCGCTCGGCCGACACCACATCCTCGAAGATCATCAGGATGCCCTTCATGGACTTGGCGATGGTCTGGCAGCAGCTGAGGATGTCGTCGACGATGGTGGGCGGCGGCCAGACGCCGGCCGCCAGGTTCACCTGCAGGCGCAGCTTCACCACATGCTCATAGATGAGGCTCATGCAGCTGTTGAGCGACTGCTTGCGGGGCTCCAGCACCCCGGCCGCCGTGGCCCCGGGGCCCAGGTCGAAGGACCCGCTGCTGCCGGCATTCGGCATGCCCATGGTGGACAGGCGCCGGTTGAGGGGCGGCGCCGGGCCGGTCCGCTGGCCGACCCCCGCGGGGGCCGGCTTGGCGAGCTGCCCAGCCCACCGGGTTGGCCGGTCAGGCCGGGCGACACATGGGGATGGCAGGCGAGAGCGGGGTCAGCAAAGGGGGAGGGGCATCGGCCGGGGGGGGGGGCGCGTCCTGCCCGGCCGCGCCTCCGGGCCCGGAGGCGGCGGGCACCACAGGCATGCGGGCGTACCGAATCCATCGGCGGGGCGAAGGGCGAATGCGGGCCGGCGCCGGCCGCGGGGGCCGGGGCGAAGGGCGAGTGCACGCCGGCCATCGGGGGCGAGGTGACACCGGCGGCGGCCTCGGCCGCCGGGGAGGCCCCCCCGGCCGCGGCAAACGGCGAAAAGGGCGAGAAGGGCTTGGCCCCGGCGGCGGGGCTGGAGCCCGAGGCGCCGTGGCCCGGGAGCAGCCCGCCGGCGCCGGCCGGCGCGCCGTACTGGCTGGACCGGCGGCTGATGGGCAGCCGGCGAATGGGCCCGCCGGCCGGCATGCCGCCGGCCTCACCCGGCGCCTGGGCGAAGGGAGACAGGGGCGACGCGGCCACGGCCGGGGCCGCCAGGGGGCCATTGGCGCCGGGCCCGGGGCCGTGGCCGGCCCCCGCCGAGGGCATGCCGGCCGCCGAACCACCGGCCCCGGCCCCCTGGAGCGAGGCACTGACCGTGGCATCGATGTGCGGCAGGGCGCAGCCGAGGGCCCCGATGTCGGAGATGGCCTCGTCCACGGCGGCCGACAGGGCCTTCACGGCGGCCAGCCCCCCGAGGCAGGCGGCCCGGAAGGCGGTGACCGCCGCCTCGGTGGCCACCAGCCCG